CCCTTGGGCTCAGTGGATATATGGAACAGCAGAATGCCGTCTCTGAGTGAGTGAGAAGCTGTATGCTGTAAGCAGTTCATGAGCATTAAATCTTATGCAGTCAGATAGAAACTTTCTTTTAAATAATGTCATTTTTGATAATTTCATTTCCTTTGAAAACAGATTTTAATTTAAAAAGGATGCTAAATGATATATTCTTTATATGAATGCTCATTTTCCCTCATTATAAAACTTCTTAGACAATGAAAATAAACAAGATACCTAGGGTCTATATTGTTTTATGTTCTTAATATGTAATAGACACTGTCACTGAGGAAACAACAAAACAGTTTGTTCATTAGCAAACACAGCATGTCGGTGGAAACCAAGGGGTGGAAACAAGACCCTAATTAGACCCATGAATTCCTCCTCTTCCTGAGAAAGAATAAGGAGACCAGGCTTTCCCCTCCGTAACGGTGTCCTTTAGGGCTTTTAGGAAGAATATATTTCCTGTTTGTCTCTTTGTCGGTGTGTGAGTTTGATCATTGTTACCTAATAAACACAACATGAATTCCCTCTAGAAGTCAACTAATGGGTACTTCAAGTGCAATTCTCTATGTGTGTTAAATGAGTAAGTTGAAAACTCTGCATTTTGAAACCCTTTGGTAAGCTGGGGGACTATTACAAGAGATTTTGGATAAGATTTTGCATAGATTACAGTTCCATAAAAGAAGAAAATATTCTCTAATACTGCCTCATTTTTGTGGTTTCAGTATTTCTCAGGTACCGATTCGAATTATACTCCATCTCTATAACTGATACCTTTCTCAATCTAGAAATGAAAATGGTGCTTGGATCACTTTAAAATTTCAAGAGCTGTGAGGAATTTTTAAATATTTTTATATCATATATTCTGTGATGTTCAGTAACAGTTTATATATGTGCCAATGGAAAGGAAACAATATAAAATAGACTGTCTTTACCCCAAACTATGCATCCTTTCTTTTAGCCATGATTGCCCTCAAAAAGTACAGAAGTTGAACATGCAATAATGAAACTAATGTGTGTGCACTGCTGGAGTGTGTCTGCATGATTATTTTTTAACAAAAGCTAATGGCCAAGTAATGGAAATAATGAGCTGGAGTGAAAATCCAATATGAGTTTGATGAGCAGAACATTCTGAATAAAGTATACTAGAGGAAAAAATCCCTATGGAACATTTTACTCCCTACTAGTCCAGAAGTTTATTAGTTTTAATATGAAAGTGGACATGATTGATAAAGGAACCTGAGTAAGTGTGTGTGCTGGTGATCATCAGAAAGGATGGGAAAAACCTGGAGTTCGCTTAAAGAAAAATAAAGATTCTTTAAAAGACTTTATCTGTTTTAAAATTAATTCCCTCTGGATAGCAATTTATTTGCACATAGTCTAAATAGCTGATGATGGAATAAAGGAATATTTGGCCTGTTCTGCAAGTCCAAAGATATCAAACTATGGGAGAAGGTAAAGGAGATAAGGGTGGCAGTGTCAGGAATACATGACAAGAAATGGAGGTTTGGGGACAGAGATTAATAAAGAACAAATTCATCACAGAGGTGACCTCAAAAGTCTCCTTTAGTTCTAGAGAAAAACATAAGTAACTTTTCCTATAATTAAGGAGAAAAAAAAAAAGGGGAATGGAAATAATTTCCACACTATTGCTAACAGATATTGATGATAGTATTCAAAGACTCAAAGGTTCAAATGGTACCGCATTTTTATACCACCGCCACCATACTGATCATCACCATCATATTCAAGATTCCAAGTAACAGCTTCAGAATGCTGATAGATACCATGCACCAGTCAGGGGGTTCACGAACAAGCTGTATTCAATTCTCACAGCCCAGTGAAGCTTCAATAAGGAAAACAGTTGGTGTATTGCGTATACCACATAATTTACATTGTATGTGGTACAACTGAGTCTGTTTATACACTCTGGGTTACACTGCTATCCACAGTGCTAAAGTGCTTTGCAAATTATAAACACTCTAGACTTAACATACTTACAATCACTATTAGCAATAAGGTAATTGAGGCAGTTCATATTGATCACTTTGTGATATAAATGATGCCTGTGATATACACAACTCATTGGCTCTGATATAATTCATTTTTCTTGCCCATTTTTGGTGTATCATTTAGGGCCAAATGTAAGCTGACAACTTACCTGCCAATCAGATTTCTCCTAAAAGCCATTTGATGTTCTACTTGTTACTTATCAAATTTTAAACTTTAGGAATATTGATTTATGTATTTCCACGGCAAAACAGACAAATAAGGAAAAGGTTGTGTTTGGAAGTCACCTTCCCAAAGTAAACGCAAACAAATTCTAGAGATTCAGTGAAAATATGGCAGAAAAGGGTAAACCCATTGGTTAGTCAGCACTCTGCTGAGAAAGTAAATGCTTGACTGTAACCCTCAGCTGTTATAACTTATGGTTTAGAGCTAAATTTTAGTTGACTCTAGATTCAAATTAGCTTTTGTGAGTCTCTGATATACTTTCAAATGTTTAGGCATCATTTTATCCCATAATTCAATTTTTTTGATATCATTTTTATGCCAGTACTCTGATACAATTTTACACTTTGAAAAGTTACTGATGTATTTATCCAATTTGAATGTTTCTTTTGTAATATGTTCTCATGCTAACTAATTTTCCCCAACATAGTATTTATTTTACATATAGGAATCTTCCCTTTGGTGGGAGAAGATTTCCAATCATTTCTTTGAAATGAATTCAAAATAACTAGGAAAATTGTTATTGAAGGACAAGACTAATTCCTTACTATTTTTTTCTCCAGTTGTAGGTTGGATGAGTGGGGAATAGGTCATGTAAGGATTGGTATTCATGCTTATATTCCAGTAAAAATTACCTCATTTTGAATCTGAAGTACATGTGAAATATACATGACATAAGCTGTTTGTTAGGTTCACAGTTTTCTACAATATCACTCTTCATAATTAAGTTTATATTTACAACTATTATCAAATGGTTGGTATACTTTATAACAGAGATGTGATGATCTAAATTTCCATAAGGAAATAAGTAGCCACTGTAACTGAGATCCTTTTTAAAGGAATGATAAATATATACTTTGAAAATTTATATTCAGGTTGTATTCTTCATGAAACCTGGGACTGCTTGGCAGTAGTGAAAATGGTAATTTGTTTTATGTGCCTGTCAATTTTAAAGACAAAAACAGACTATATCCTTGGGCATTGTTTGCAAAGCCACTTTCTAGATCGAAACACATGGATTGGGTTAAAGAGAATACCAAGAAAGTGTGGCCCAAACTTGCTTTCACTTTAGAAAATAATAGCATAGTTTTACTTCTCACTCTCCTTCCTGAACAACAGAAGTGTTGTGTCTTGGTCAGTACCTATCTCTCAGCAACCCAAGTGCCTGGCAATGAACAGAGAGAGGAGCAGAAAGCTGGGAAATTCACAAGCTGCATTCTTCAAGTTATAGAAAACACCAAGTCTAGTCTAGTAATAGAAAACTCCTAATTCTCCTAATGGCTGTTAACACCATTTCTTGGGTAAAAGAGATGACACCTAGATTTTTAAACTCACAGTGTGATATTTTTGAACAGCTGACCATTCTTATGGTGAATTGCAATAAATATAACAAGGCTTGCATGCCACTCCAAACATATCACAACTTCTACTTTCTAGTACAATGGCTTACGGTAGTATTGATATACATTATATATTGATAACTTTGCAAAAACAATTTTAATACATTCAGAAAAATGATAACCTAGCAATGTAAGTTATTTGGATTTACTACACAACAAACACAATTTTCTTGTGCTATAATAAGGTTTATGCAACTTTATGAGTATGTCCCTCCCCCGTTCAATCACACACAGCACTAATCCAGAATCTGTGATTGATCCTACAACTAAGAAAGAGAAATTGTCTTTCAAGACAACATGCATATTGTGACCCACCCCAATCTCATGTGGTCCAATCTTTCCAGGCATCACAGACCCTTGGGCTGGAACTGAACCCAATCATTCCACAAACGATTTCAAGTGAGACAGAAAAAATAAATCAGTTTATCTCCCATTTGATGGTTAAATACCATTTTAAGACTATATCTCAAATTTCTCAAAATATTCCAAAATTGTTTGAAAGATTTTCAAATGTCGCCAAATGTTGACTTAAATTATCTTAAATGTAATATTACTCACCTCTGGATAAACTTAAAACAAGTTAAATCCCTTATCCTATAAGATCAAAGGAAAAACAAAACTAAAACAATAGCGTTCAATGTTATTTTCACATGGGGGCATATTGCTTTTACCAAGTATCATTGCCATTTGTAACCTCACTGTAATAATGATTGGTAGAGGTGGAAACTTTTAAAATTGGCACACAAAGATTGCCCTGGAATGGTTTGATTCTCATCACCTGTCTCCATTTGTACTGCTGAGATATCCTTTAGCTTTTACTTGCTAAAGACAAATGTTCACATGTCAAATCTACATCTGCACACTTCAGATTTGCCTGTGGCAATCCGTGTAATTCTCTTCTAGTTTGCATCTGCATGATTTAAAACAAACAGCACAGACATCACACGGCACCAGTTCCACCATAAAGCAGTTATCTAGATTATCCAAAATATGTTTGTCCATGTTAATATTAACATCAGATAAAGACATAACCCTTAGAAATGAATCAGTTAAATTTTGGATCCCCAAATATTGAGGTCCAAAGTAAAAAGCAAAAATAACTAGCTTAATGAAAGTATTTGCTTTCTTCATAGTCTAGTGAAATTCTTACTTGATAGCAATAGCCCAGGGAGGTGTAGAAGTCTGACTGTATTGAACTATAACTTTCTTAAAATCACTACATAGATAAAATATCTCACAATGATGGCAGTTCTATTGTATACTATGTATGTGTCATCTATGACATCCAAAAAAGTTGATATTAAAAGATTGAAATATAAATATATAAAATAGACTTCTAACCTTTTGTTCTCTCTTACTGCTTTGTCCCCCTTCCTCCAAGAGATGGCTGGTTTTGGAGAGCCTTGGGGTTTGCAGTCTATGATGACTTCTCGATCTTTGGTAACAATTATGGTTTTCTTCAGCTGATTCATTGCAAATGTGGGAGCTGAAGCTATTAAAAAGAAAATGTTAGTTCTACCAGAAGCAATGACAATAATCACTAATGGATGATTCACCCAGATTTTACAGCTTCATCCTCTGGGATCCTTTTTCATAAAATCTCATAAAAATATACGGCATCAGCACATAATTTAACTTATTATTAATTAATAGATATCTTACTGGGTCTCCTTCTACTGGAAGATAATTGGTTCTATAATGTGGGGTCCACTGATTAAGGTGTTTCACAAACTAACATGCTTTTGTTATGACTATCAACTTCAGTTATGGAAACTTGGGCAAAAGGCCAAGGAGCCAACTAAGGAAGTCTTTGGGGATTTCTTTGGAAAGATGAAGGTCATTATGAATAAGACATTTCTGGTGCTTCCATTTTCTAACTTATTTAATTTAGTCCACATTTTATTTTAGTATTATTTAAATTTTAATGTAGTTTTGAAAAGAAACAGATTTTTAAGAAATAACATTATTTCAATCACTGTTTGAATTTTTATTTTATTTGTTACAATTATTCATCTAAGTCAGATCACTTATTAATATTGCTTTTTACCAGATATCAATATATTTGGACTCTAATAGTCACGTCTGCACATCTATAGTATCTGAATTATTGACTTACACCAATTCATGAGTCTTTCAGGAGTATTTGATGTTCATATTTAAGCACCATTATCCATGACATAACATTAAAAAGTGGTATATATTGCAATGAAGATATATTAAGACACAAGGAAATTTTGAGAAGATTTCAGGTAACATTTTAGATGCTTACTAGAATTGAATTCATAAAAGATAATTTTGAAATATGTCTTGCAAATAAGAGTTTGAGAGTTTTTCTGGGAAAATAGTGAACTAATTGAGGGCTGAATCAGCTTTTTAATTCCTGGATGTTGTAGTGTGGGTTAACAAAAAAAGTCCATTAATATTTGATCTATGATGTAGGAAACTACAATGGAATCCTGGATCTACTGGGTTTGTATTTTTTATAATGGGGAGAAGTTTCAATTGCACAGATTCATAATTCAATAAATGGATTTATGGTGTAGAATATGCTAATGGAAGTTTCCCCTTTTCCTGAGCTCTTTGGTGTTTTTGTAAATGTTATGTTTTAGGAAGTTAGGAGTGTAGTAATAGCATTTTTGGGCTTCTGCTCACTTGGGGAGACAGTTTAGATCAATCCAGTATCTATGTTTTTATTATAACCATACCAGAACCAAAGTTTAGAGGAAGCAGTCAGAGTAGGAAAAAGTAAAATCATTCAGTGCCCCAATGATGATTATTCTGGGTCTCTGTTCCACTCGATCCACTCTTTCCTGTAATAGTACCTGGGTTCAACTCATCAAAAGTGTAGCCTTTTTTGTGTGCCATTCCTGGCCTCATAAGGCCTTCCTTTTAATTGAGAGGATGATGATAGCTGAAGCCTTGTGGGAAGAGGGAAATTCATCCTGGAGGAGTCCTGCCTTGTAAGAACCACATACCTAGTGGTAGATAGGAGCTGCTTAGGAAAAAATTAAGCATTTCTATGGGAGTAGGGACAGGCCTCTACTTTTACATTCTGATTGCCTGCATCCTAAAGGCATTCTTCTTTGAAAATTAACATATATATCACTTATCTGATCTTCAGTGCTATAGCAAAGGCATTGTCTGAACCATTAAGATTAAAACTAGAGTTAGAACCAGTGAACAGAACAAGCATGAGTCAAATTGCATACAAAGTAAAATTGTCTTCTAAAGCTTATAAAAATATCAGCACAACACAGTATTTGTTTTCAAGACATAAAATAGGTTTTTAGAATCACGTCATAAAACTTCAAGATGGTAAGAATTAGAGCATGAGAGAACAAGTCTTCTTTCCCGTCTATTTACTTGAAAATTGCATACCTAGAATCTTCAGCTCAGCACTAGCATAAATGGCTCCATATTTATTTTCAGCCAAACACTGATACATTCCAGCATCTGATTGATTCACATTGTGGATCGTCAATACTCCATTAACCATGTCAACCCTACTCTGTAATAGAAAGGAAAATTAGCTCTAGAAGATAAACTCAGATTTTGTGCATATAAGAAAAGAAGGCCTCCAGTTAATACAGTTACGCAGTACCTGGCAAATTTACTATTTTGTTACGTCTCTAGTAAATTATAACTATGCTATAAGGATAGCATGATTATATTTTCCTGGAGCTGCTCCACTTTCAGTTTTGGTTTTAATCCGAGCTCCCTTTGAGTAGTGGACAGACTGAACTCTTGAAAAACACATAGCAGATGATGTTTACACTGGGGTTACTTTAACAAGGCAGAAAAAGGGGTTCCATGGAAGAAAGGATGAGGGCTTGTGGAGTTGAGAAGGAGGTTGACAATAGCCCAGGCCATAACAATAATCCCTTTACTCTACCAATATCACCAGGAGTTTGTCTTTCCTCTCATTTCCAAACAAACTAATACAAGTGGGAACTTGTATTATGCCCATCAGTTGATTAGGAATAAAATGACTGATCAGAAAATATAAACTTCATTAAAAGAAGAAACTTAATATAAAAGACAAAAGATAGGACATGTCAAATTGAGGTAAATCGAGGACAAAGGGTACATTTCAAAAACCATTTTACTTTTAAAATGTTATTAAACAAACAGGTGTGTTTTCTACTCAACACCAAGTAAGTAATTAAAAAAAAATCTTAGTGGGCAGTGTTTTGATTATTTATCAACAGAGATACCAAGTAATTTGACAACATATCCAAAATAAACCCATTCATTTAGCAAACATATAATCTGCCACTGGGATTTTTGCTACTTGGAAGCTGAGGATAGAAAATATGACTGACATACCCTCTTCTACAGGGGTATCCCTAGGAGAATTAGAAAGAGCGAGCCTGTGAATCAATGAAAAGCTTTCTTTCATAGCTTCATATTCTTTTCTGTTTGTATCTGGCTTTTCGTGCAATTGTGTTTTATTTTTAGGCTTATCTGGCTTTAGTATAAGGGAATGTTGGATGAAACTACGGGGATGGACTGAACCAATTTCTTCATTTTGAAAGGGAACAAACTGAGGCCCAGAGAGGCAGATGACAAACATCCCTTCCCCATGATAATGGCAGACCTGGCTGGGCAGGACTTGTACTCAGATCTCAACTTTATACACTTCTCTGTTTTGTGGATAAACAGTGAGCTATTCCTCCTCTGTTCACCTTGCTGCAAAGGACACAATCAAGGAAGAGAGCTGCTAAAATTATCATCAGTAGTCTGTAATTAAATTGTAATGAATTTAAATCCAGTACACAACAAGCCATCTAAAAAACATGCCATAAATTTAGTGGAGACATTCATTAAGTCTGTGAGTAGGAGGATGTCACAGAAAGAACCTGTCCAGGGCACAGGACTCCTGGATCCTACTCCAGTCATCTCTCTTACTGGTCCTGTTATCACAGGCAAGTCCTCTACTTCAAGAGATTAAGTCCATTGTCGACAGTGTTGCAACTAGCTGGACGTCAACTAAAGGTCAGGTAGAAATGGCAAGAAGTGTATGATGACGACTGATATTGCTAAGAATCTACAGGTTTGAAAAACTTGCATACAATTATGCAAAGAGGTAATACGCAATTAAAATAAAAAGATGCTGCTTGTGTATTTGTTATGTTTATCAGTGCGAATGCATGAGAAGGCAGCAGGAAATGGATTTCAGTAAGATTACAGAAGCCTGCTGTCTTGTGCACACCCGGATGAGATTGCACCGGAGAGGTTAAGGATTGTCAACAGTACCTGTGGCATGAGGGGAACTCCGTTCTTCAGCCAGCGGTAAGTGGGTCGGGGCTTCCCAGTAGCCTTGCATTCCCAACGGAGTGGGCTCCCGCTGTCCAGCTGCGTGTCATTCAGTTTCTCTACCCAGTGTGGGTAGGCTGCAAGCAGAGATGCGTGAGAGAAGAGTGAGTTCATTTTGCAAACACTTTCACAAGTTCAAAATTCCCATGGAACACTTCACGGCCGCTTTAACTTTGCTTTTCATGTTCGCAATGCACAAAGCTGTAGCTATGTGGAAGAAGAATGGGAACGGCACTGCTTCATACACAACTCTATTTCCTGACCAGCAATGGGGCCCTGAGATAATTTGGTAACTTTTAAAACATGTTTTAACCTCTGTGAAGTATATATTTTAAAAATAAAACACGTTAAAGAAAGTAGTTTGCTTCTCTGAGGCACCAGCGCTTGGTTAGCAGCAGTCAGGTAACGGCTCTCTTTTGAAAATTTGGGCAGCATTGACCCTTGCAGAAATATCTGGCAGGTCCCATTGTTGAAGAACTGCTCTGATTTCTCTTTTCCCGTAGAACCCAAATGGTTTTGGAGAAATAAGTTGTGAATTCAAATCTTAGTGAAAAACTTTTAATTTACTTAATTCTTCCAATAAAATTTTGCAGTTTCCAAAACTGTAACCGAGATACTATTTCTTTACTGAGAACATTTCTGTTTGTACAGCATCTGCGAGATAGATGCTAAAGTATCTTTCCTCAATTAGCTAAATTTTAAGACAATAATATTGAATAAAAGTGTTTATTTGTCCATATATGGCCCTCATAGAAAGCAGATGAAGCAACAAACACGAGAAAATATGTAACTGTGAATGCCTTTTCTTTGTAGCAACAATTTTGGCAAAAGTAAATTATAAAATATTTAACTTTCTCCTGGTAAAGACTTTGATTACTCAGTCACTCATATGTTCATTCATCTCATGATGTGCTGTCTATTTTGGTCTGAGAGGGTTGGGTAAACAAAACCAGTTACATCCTACACTTAAAAAGTTTGTGGTATGAGAGACAAGGTCTAATGTCAATGCTAGGGAAGGGATTTTGTAAGCAAGGTAGTTGGAGGAATCCGCACATGAATATCAGAATAGTAGATCTGATACCAAAGCCAGATCTGCCTTTTTTAGAAGGGAAGAGAAAGAGCAAGAGAAAAAGAATTTCCATTTATTAAATGCTAACCATAGACACTATATGCCCTCACTGTGAAATAAATTCTCAGTCATCCCTGTAACATCCATCCTGAAAACAAACATTCCCCATTTTATGAACGTGTGGCTCAGAAAGGTTCAGGAAATTTATCCAAGCTGAGAGGTTGTCTCCAAGTGGGGCTTTGGTTTCAGTAGCTCACTGGTTTTCCAGCCAATAGTGGTGTCTCTATGAAGCCCTCGGCTGGCCTAGCGTGATGGAGCTTTCTAGACCAGGATTACACTCTGCGATGTGAGTTATGAATTAGAAGCCATCATTCAAAACCTTTAGCATGGTGAGTTTCAGATACTGACCCTGAGTTTTGTGCTTGCATTCCAAATTCAGCCCCTTTGAAATGTCATGTCATCTGTTCTAAAAATACTGATAGGAGTGGTGAGACACAAGAGCAATAGTAAGGCCTATTTCATGCATGAGCTTTCCGTAGGCTCCTGTCCTACATGGTCACACTGCTTTAAACCACGCATGATCCCGTAACCCACGGGATGAGCGGGCAGTTTGCCAGGCACACACTGCATCTTCTTTAAACTATTCACTCCATGTGGAATGTTCTGATTCTCTTCTTTTTATGCTTCACTTCTGCCTATAACTCAAGGGTTTAGTATGAATTAAATGGGGAATATTCATCATAAACCCACAGGGGAGTTGTGTGTACCTTCTCTGGACACCGATAGTCCTTATTCTCTTGGAAAATTATCAAGTTAGTAGCTAGTGACCCCTCTTCTGTACTGACTTAAATTGTTACTGAAATTCTTAGTTGATTGTAGTTTGATACCCACCCAGATTAGTGAGCTCACTGGGAGTGGTGTAGACTCAACTTTGTATTTCCTTACATACAACAGTGTCCCTCATGGAGTAGATAATTGCAACATACTGGCTAGCTATCGTCAATAACAGGTCTTATAATGGACCACAGCTAATGTTGGGAGATGAAAAATTGAAAATATATGAAAAAGTTACAAAATGAACAATTAAGAAGGAAAGAAATAATAAAACATTAAAACAATAGGTAATTGGTAATTGGTAAAAATGAAAAATTGCAATAATGTTCCTTTAAGCACATTTTGGTTTACTGTATAAAATGGTATAAAGCCCTGATTCCAAAATGAATGTGTCATGGGAATCAAATGAAATGTCAATGCCATTACAATGAGTGAGTTCCCCATTCTTCTTCAAATGTTTTTGGATAATACTGTAGCTGCAGTACTTACGATGAGAACACTAATATATGTATACACATGCCACAGTGTCTGTTGCTGTCAGCCCAAAATCTAGTGGGTGAGATGGAATTGAAATATTATTTGAATTCACTCTATCAACAATTCCACAAATAAAAATACCCTGATAGACTGTTGTCCAAATTAAAAAAAACCTGTCAATTTATCAATTTTTGACATATAAAAAGCAGATGTGGTTTCAGATCTTGTTTTGAACTCTGAATATCCTGGTTCATAAGTCTTTGAATTGGGCTGTGTGGTAGCATAGGACCTATGAGCTATGTTTCTATCTAGATCACAAAATCCCAAAACCAACTCTGAAGCAGTGCAATGAGGTGATGTCACATGACTGCTTCTAGAGGGCCACATGCAACAAGTATGTAAATGCTTCTTGCTAGCTAATAAACTTAACACAAAAGTTGTCCAGCAAGCCCAAATGCACACACAGGCACAAAATAAAAATGAAATGTGAGTATCAGATAATGTAAACTGAAGTTAAGCATCATACTGTAAGAATAAATTTGACATCATTGTATAACATTGTATAACTTATTTGTATTTATAAGTTGTTATCCTTCATGACACACCTGGAAAATGTAGTTCTGTTACAATGGGTTTATTTTTAAGTGAAAAACAAAATGATTTACAATGTAGAATCAGAAACAAAGAAGATTCCAGTTAAAAGTTTTCCTTGGCGTAAGATGCAGGTAATCCTGGAGCAATGGCTCTAGCTTTTGAATAATAATCTGGGTTAAAATGTACCAAGACGTGCTCTACATTGTGGGGAAACTTAGACCTTCCTAAAAAAGAAAAATCCCAGATGGGGCTCATGTAAAGTAAATCTGGTGCTTTTAAAAATCTAGCCTTTTCCAGGCCACCTCTTTTAGGCTGTGGGAAACTGGAGAGACATATGGCACGTTAAGTTTAGTGGCTGCTAAAGTCTTGCCAGGTGCACTGTGTATCGATAACTACTTACGTAATGCACTTGAGCTTCAAATCAGTGTCTGGGTTACATTTGGTAAAACACGGAGCAGATGTGCATGAAGAACAGGCTTGCTTATCACCTCTTGTCACCGGAAATTCTGAAAGTCTCTATTGAGAAATGCTAACTATTACCGGCCTCCAGCGTTCTTTACTCTAAGTACCGAGGAGCCACGCATTTCATCCACATAGATCGATGTTCCCAGTGTGACTCTTAGCGGTGGCCAGTGGGAGGCAACGTGGGATGTTAGAAGGATTATACAGTTGGGGGTGAAAATAGGTTCACGTCCCAATGCTCAGACGCTCTTGCTCTAGTATGTGATGGGAAATGAGTTCCTTAACTTTAATGGGTCCCCTTTGTAAGCTGTGAATGGTAATTCCTATTTCAATGGGCTACTATGATGATTGAACATAATAAATACTGGTCAATTTTCACTAGGAATCCATTGCCCAGGCATTAACTTCAACTTCATTTTATCAAGTGTGACAATATGTTTGCCACCATTTTCATACCAGTAGAAATCAGTGCAAGACGTGTTCTGCAAAGAAATGGGACTAAAACATTATGTATGAAATTTTAAAACAAGAAAGTATAATTTTATATCATTTCCTATAGTAAATCTGTATGTATTTTCATAGCAAAAACATCTTTAAAAATTCTATCTAAAAGATAAATAGAATTGTGAAAAAAGAAAAACAGATAATGAGAATTACTGGCAAGGATTATGCCTTAAATAATTTTTCTCTAACATTAATAAAATACAGTGGGCCAGGTGTGGTAGTGCGTGCCTATTAAGAACTGCTACTCAGGAGGTGGAGAAGGTGGGGCCTGTGGCGGGAGACCAGCTGGGGAAGAAAGTTAGCGAGACCCCATCTCAACAAACAAGCCAGGCATAGTGGTACACATCTGCTGGAGGTGTGGGTAGTAGAAACACAATGCAAGGCAGGCCCTGGACAGAAAGAATGAGAGCCTATCTGAAAAAATAACTGAAGCAAAAAGGGCTGGGAGAGTGGCTCAATGCAAGGCCTGAGTACTCACATACTCAAGCTCCAGTGCTGCCCAAAATAGCTAAAAAAAGCACATAAAGTATAATAAGGAGGAATTATATGCTCTCCATGTGGTGCTTTAGACCAGGTCGGTCACGTGTCATTGAGAGGTGACATCCTACAGTTGGTGTGAAGGTGGGGGCTGAATTCTAGCTTCCAATGTTAGTTGGATTCTTGTCCTACTGCTGCGCTCTACCACAAAGCCACATCCCCAGCGTGCACTGCTCATTTTTAGTGGAACCTGGTGTAAAAAGTTCATTAATATTTCGAGGGATAGTTTCTTCCTCTGTCAAAAGGGAGCGCTAATAGCTAAGGCCTGGTGAGGCTGGCGTGTGTGAGGTCTGAGAGGGGACAGCAGGTCTGGGATGTAAGTTTTTGGCAGCTGTTTGTGCTTCTCGTTAAGTCTTTAGTCTCCCCTGCCAGTCACCACACTTTACAGTGAACCCTGTAAAATGACATGCACACTTAAGCATTAGTGTTTATGTACTATAAAGTTATACCTCATAAAAATTACCCACTGTTTTCTGAATGTAATGCTTAGTTCTAGAAAGAAATAAGGGAAAAAGAACAACAGTCTGTTTTGAATGCACTTGCAATGAAACTGCAGGCATTGAACCTATAAACATTTGTGAAGATGCTTTTCAGAGATTTCATGACAATAAGGAAATCTACCAAAGGTAAAGTTGCATTCCTTTATTGGATATTTAGAACTTACTTGTCTTTTAAGCATCCTGGTTACAGCTATATTTTTAATACTACATCTAGTCAAATAGGAAACACAAACTATCAAGAGGGCATAGTGACAATGCCTTTACAGAATGACAAATTACTGCTTGTGGGCACATGTTATATAAACTCATAGATCAAATGTCTTTATAGAATAACATTTTTCCGAGATAGAACAACTCTAATTGTGACAGCTCTTTATAGTATAGAGTCATTTACGGGATTATGTTTGGCCTACATCCCTCCCTTCCCCTGCTTGCTCCCCTGCCCTCCTCCTCTCACTCTCTCTTCTTCCTCTCTTCCACTCTCCCTCCTTTCTTCCCCATTCCTCCCTCCCCCTTTCCCCCCACCTTCCTCTCTTGCACCTTTGCTTTGTCCCTTACTTCCTTACTTCTTTCTTCACTTCTTTGAGTCTTCCTCATTTTTTTCCTTTTTAAATGAAAACTGTAGCAAGCAAGATAATTTAATTTATATTGGAATAACATTTTGTGTGACTCACTAAAACCATGCCCTTGTGGTCAATTATCAGAAATCAGAGGAAACAGAAACCCCAAATACCTACACTAACAAAATATATTCACTAGAACTATTCAGTTTATTCTAAAGTTCAAATTATTTTCAATGTTGTACATTTCTAATTTTTGTTCACTTCTTTTTTGAATATTTTTTAAAATCCGTTTTTGTTATATTAGACATGTAAGTTTTACTTTCATTTTTTAAAATTTAACAATGGACTTCTTCATATTGTGTCATTTGTCATGTAACATTTAGCATACTGAGGCTCAGTTATAAACAGTAGGATAGATGGCTTAAATCTGTGTCTTCCATCTATATTAGCCTTTAGATTTTAATGCTTTGATAAAAAAAAAAGGGCTCCTTTAGAATGCTGGCTCATCGGAGCCCGATGGGCATGTAAAAGCATTTTTGTAATTACACTGTCAAGAAGAAAGTGAATTACGGGAAGAAACCTATATTCTAGTACTCTGTAAACATCTATCATTTGGGTAAAAAATGTTGGCCGCTATACTTTTTTCTGACTTGTAAACTCTAGTTGTAGAACTTCTAACAGTAATCCATTTTACTTAGAGTCTCAGTCCAACCCATGCATCCAGCAGAATAGTCTTGAATCAGGCTATTCACCATGCTACAGTTAGGAAGTGTCACAAAAGAGCCATGTGTTAAAGGCTTGGTGGCCAGTCCATGGCATTAATGGGTGTCAGTGGAAACTCAGCAGATAGGACCAACTTGAAGGAAGTTAGGCCACTGGAGTGTGCTCTTGAGGGGATGCTGGGACTCCAGCTCCCTCCTCTCTTTCTGTTCCATGTGACCATGGACTGAAACTGTTGAAACCATGAGCCAAAAAATAAAGTTTTCTTCCTTTTAATTTGATTATTTCAGGTATTTTGTCTCAAAAACAGAAAGTTGACACACATACCTACTGTCAGTAAGGTGCAAATGTTGGCGGAGATCCAAGCTACCCTTCTCAGAGTCTGATGAGAGGAAGCCCTTATGCAGACACAGCAGTTTCGTTAAGTACAACATTTTGGTGAGGCAAGAGAATTCAGGGAGTGAAACAGGACACTGTCTATAATTGTTCTGGGGCCACAGATGTAAACTGGGGTTATCTAGGGCAAGTCAAAATGAATGGCCACCTGATGGAGCCTGGCAGGAGGTCCCCTTAATCATGAACTACAGTGACAAGTCATATATTTTCAAGATACCTTCTTGACCTGCCAGAAATATACGCCAAATAGCTATTGCTGGCTACTTGTCTTTCGGGTAATGATCTACCCTGGTTTTCTATTTGAAGTGATGCATGCAGTGGGCATGTTTTCTTTACCTGACTGGCCTACAGTGTTCCTCTAATCATGTGTGACAAGGAGAGCCCACAGAGTGTTTCATGGTGGCATACGTTCTCACCAGAACACACACTAGTAATGTTGACGAACAGCAGTGTTGAAAACAGTCATTACTGCCTATTAATAAGTACTTGTGTGAAGAGGGGGAGAAAGTGCGGTTTCCACATTCTGTAAAACATTCTACATAGGTAGAAACATTCCTCATGACAGAGAGATATTTGGGACATTTCCCTAATCGCTTTAAGAGTAACATGCAATCCTAAAGTTCTGGTTGAACACTTGCTGTCATTATTAGGTTTTTATCTGTAAATCAGGCTAGTAATGCTTCATTCTGTTGCTATGAGGATAAAATGACGTAAGGTATTCCCTCTGTGTACAGTACCAACATTTTGCCCCTTTGGCCAAAGAGTTGTCCTCATGATCTGTGTTAAGGAATTATGGACAGTCATGAATACTGTGAATTTCATACAGGGTGACAAATTTTGTGAATTTTATCAAGTGTAACATCCATGGTGTAAAAGGCAAGCAAACCAGGGCTGGTACTTCCATCTTATAACTTTTAAATGACTATGTATTTTTCTTCTCCTGTTCAGCCTTTCACATGCCAATCCTAAGCCTGTCCCTGAGTCACTTGAATAAAATGCAGTGGACTCTGCACCCCATCATCCTTTCCTTATGTCTTTATCACAGCCCACATTGTGCTCTAACGTGAGTTCACTTTTGATCCCATCCAATGGTTCGTGAGTCCTTCCACAGCTGCATTGCTAGCCCGTGAAGCAGTAAGGGGCACTTAATAAACATTCGGTGAACGAACGAATGAGGGAAACAAATGTACCTGGTGTGATTGGAAGGCTGAATTCCTAACGCCATGGTTACAGATAAAGAAGGACAGGCTGAATTCAGATATTAATCATATTTCAAAAATACTGTCCTTAAGAATCCCTGCCTAGAACCTTCAGTTTTTCAGCATAACTGATCACAAGATCCAGTGGCAGCCACAGTTTCTCGGAGAATCGGTCAGATGCAGATTGGATAAGCACAGATCCCGAGCATCTGTGTCTGCTTACATTGAGCTCAGCTTACTGTGTTCCTTTTTTTCAGTGTCCTAGTCTGGAAAATGAGAATAATATCCCCATCCCAATACACACATTTGTAAAGGCAAATATGAAAAACTAACATGATTTGTGATCCTTGGAGGCAAAGATGAGGTTGTGAAAACTTTTGAACTAGATTGCCCTACTTCTTATACATTGCTTGGTTGGCTCTTTGGCTATTTGGACATTATAAACACTTATGGCTATAGAGGGTATTATTTACACAAATGTATTAATTTAGGTCAGAGGCCAGCACACTCTTAACGTCATCTGATCTCTGTCTCTACTTAATTCCCCTACAGCCACACAAAAGCTGACATAGATCATGTGTAAACACATGACTATGCTTGAATTCCAATAAAACTTATCTACCAAAAACATCAGCTGGGTAGGATTTCAAGCCCTGGTTCAGACCAAGGCTTAGAATAAGTTCATACAGTTTATACCAATTTTAATTTATCAGAGGATGGTGTCTGTGCCAGAAAAAATACCCCGTTTTTAAGGATGTAAAGTCTGCATGCTCTACAAAGAGAATGGTAATTCTTCATTTATTTTTAATCTAATACATTCTTGCGTGGAGGATAGTTTTACATGGTACTTTATTATTCAAATGAAGAATGGCTGTAAATTATTACTTGGTTTTTATGTACCCAACAGACAATGTTTAGTGAAATTTGCATTCTCAGTGTGACTCTGGGGACTGGAGCATCTCGCTTTGAAGCAAACACTTACTGTATATTTGCAACTGTCCTCGGAAGGAGTTTTTCCCCCGTGAGTTTTCAGCCCTGCACTCGTACATGCCCGTGTCATCCAGCTGCACGTTGGGGATCTCCAGCACTGCCTGAGATTTCCGCAGACGGGACTTGCTAGGAATGTAACCATTCACCTTCATCCATGTGATGGTTGGAACCGGGCTGGAATAATGAACAAAAACTCTGTTAATACACTCTCCATTATTAGGAACACAGATTTGGTTATCTGGTAATTTAAGCACTTAATAGACTGAATGAATACAATGTAATCACAATTAAGGACCATGTGCCTCTTGATGTACTTCCCTTGCCATGTGGGCTGTCTGATAATCCTTAGATTACAGGAGGGTAGTTGACTTTTCTTTCATATTTCAGCAAAGCAATTCAAAGATAATACATTGCAAATCTTAATACATTATTTTTTAAATGTTATATTTTAAGTGATAAAAGTAATTTGGTGAAATTGGTAATATATACTTATGGCAGTGAGAGAAACAAAAGTTGCAAGTTAAATAAAAAACATTTTCTGCCCCACCCCTGGCAAATTTCTATTTTCTGCAACAACAAATACAGTTTACATGTAACCTCCTACCTTGTCTATGTCTACAAACATGATGAGTTATTCTCCTCTTGTTTTTCTTTAATGTAAACCCTGTGCATTTGCTATTCTATTATGAAAAGGTTACATCCAATAAATATTGGCTTGGCTTACTCTGCTTAATAGCTGCATGTTACTCCATTGTAGAAATGTAGCAGAATTTAATCAACTGCTCCTTGTGATTCAACATTCAGCAAAGTACTAGTTTTGTTTTATTATTTCCTCTCTAATTTGCCACTACAAAGCCCCCTGCTGTAAACCATGCTGCACACACAGAGTGCACTGTTGCCTTCACTTTCTGCAGCACACCTTCACAAAAGTGGGACTAGTGAATCAAAAGGTATGTACGTTTTTCATTTTAATAAGTACTGCCAGACTGTCTTTCAACAATATGGTAGCAGTTCCTACAACTCTGTGATAAATATTTCTCTTCCCATAGCCTTGCCAGCATTGGGCGGCATCAATTTCTTCACTTCTTGTCAGTATCGATGGGTAAAGTGGTATCTGATACTCACTTAATTAATGCTTCCCTGAATGCTAAGAAGCTGAACATCTCTCCATAAGTTTATTGGCCATTTACATCTGCACTTCTATGAATTGCCTGCTTGCATTATTATTTTTTCTTTTTTAATTGTCCTGTTTGCATTGTTTAATTTCATAGTTTTTTATGTATTAGAGTCATTAAGACTTTGTATCTCAGAAATATTCTTCCCCATTGATTGTTGGCTTATGACTGTGTCTGTATTGAATTTTATAAAATTTTCTTGGGAGAAACAAACATATTTCTTTTGTTTCCTTTCTGACTTCTAAACTTTTTCTTGTTTAAAAACTACTTTTTTCTTTGTTTAAGTCTTTAGAATTTTTTTACTGTTGTGCTGGGGGTTCATTGTGACATTTACAAAAATTCTTACAATATCATAGTTGAATTCACCCCTCCACCACTCTCCTTTATCCCTCCTCCCCCAATTCCTGGAACAGTTTCCACAGGTCTCATTTTTCCATTTACAGACATGTGGACACAGCATTTGCACCATATTCACCTCCCCACTGGTACCAACCCCCTAGACAGATCCTGTTCTTCCCTCTGTTCTCTGAATTTATTTAAAATAGACTTTTGTTTGTTTGTTTAAGATAACTATACAGGAAGTTTTCTTGTGACATTTCCATGTATGTATGTATTATAACCCAAATTGGTTCATCCCCTCTATTTTTCTTCTTTCTACCTCAGTCCCCTTCTTATGGTGGTTTCAACAAGTTTAAAAATTCTATATTCATTCTTGTATAGAAAGTACATCAACCGTATTCACCTGCTTAACTTCCTTCTTTTACCCTCCCTCTCTCATACGTGACCTCCTCTTAGCGTGACCTATGACCTGTTTTCCATAAAATTGCTGTATTTGTATTGGGCCTATATTCCACATATGAGAGAAAACATGCAGCCTTTGGTTCTCTGAACCTGAATGACTTCACTTAGGATGATGTAGAAAACTAGTTTAAAACACAGTTTTATGTCAATAATTTCTGAGGATTTTTGGTAGGGTTTTTAATCACATTTAAATGTTTGGATCTTTAACACATCTGGACAGTATAAATGTTTCTGGTGTGAGGTAGTGAACATAACTCATTCTTCAGCATTGTTAACTCAGTAATCCCCTTGCCCCACAATGGTTGGAATGCTGACTTTGCCATAGAATTTGCTCTCCCGCACTAGCATCTGTTTCAGGGTTCTCAGTTCTGTCCCACTGACTTATTTATCGCTATCTATATTTAATACACTTTCTACGTTTCCCAGTATGATTTTTCTCTATCTCATTCCATAGCTCCTGACCCAGAAACACATCTGTTTCCAATCATATCTGTTAAAATCCTACTAATCCTTTGAGACCTGTCCTAAATGTCTTCCCTTCAGCCAACTTCTTATGTGAATAGGTAGCTGGATTATTTTTTCTGGTAAATAACAAAGCCCCTTGTGGATCCTACTCACATCTCTGGTAGCATTCTGTCATAGATTTATAAGTGCTAAGTGTAGGATGCTTTTCCAAAATTTATTTTAACAGAAAGTAAATTATTTTTTCTTATAGGAATGAGAGCAATGCTCATTATTACAAACAGTGCTATGATAGATGCCTTTGGACAACTTACTGATTTGTTTTCTTAGGAATAAAACAAAAATGAAATTCCAGGATTACACTTGGCAATTTCTGCTTGTTGGTGAACTTTAGAATGTTAAAGGTTGAACTTTACATTCTATAATAACTGATACATCAATATGGCATGACATTCATTTAATGTATATTAGAATTTGTGATTTTTATTAATCATTTTTGCATGTAATTTTTGCATTCAAAGGTGAACTTATCTGTAGGTTTTTAGGGCTGTATATATGCATGCTTATTTATTAGCGAGTTTATGGTTTCTGTATAGCTAGGTTTGACAGATGTGGAATGACTGTGTTAGATGATTGCTTGGTAAACATACTAAAATATTTCTATCTCCACATTCTGCATCAATTTTAAGATCAGGGAAATGATGCTTCCCATGGAAGGCTGATAAGTGCCACAAGAAGTCAAGAAGTTACCTGGGTCTGCCCCCATTAGTGAGCTTAATCTTCTGTTTGTATTTTCTCTGACCATTGTTTTTAAATTTCTCCTGCATGAAGTTTGGTAATTCATGTTTCACTAGACACTCAGCTATTCCATCCATGATTTGAATGTTGAAGTAATTGTTCAAAGTTTTCAAAGCTCCTTGGTCATGAGTACTTAGAAGGTAGTAAAAAGTGTGTGTCTCATAGCCAGACCCCCTGGGTGTTAAGGTAGCTCTGATCCTACCAGCTCCTTAACATTTCATTTCTTCAGCTCCCCAGTTGTAAAATATTGTAGAAAGGTTATTACCTATACCAGAGAGTAATGTGGACATTGAAGAATTTGAAGTGCCTGGTAGGGACTAAGCAGGCAAAAATGTGTAATTATATGATAATGTTCACCATTGTATCTGTTGGATAACTTTACTGGTGTATGCTTTCTTTCTTTCTATGCAGAAGTGGTATTATATATTGGCTAGACATAGGGCTGAATCCAGGGAAGTCTGGGTTCAAACACAATTTGGATATAAGGATGCTTTGTGACCTTAGATATAAGAAATGCCCATCTCCAGCCCATTTTGTTCTGGTTATTTTTTTGGAGATGAGATCTCATGCACTGTTTGCCTGGGCTGGTCTTAAGCTGCAATACTTCTGATCTCAGTATTAGAGATGTAAGCCACTGGCTTCCAGCTAACAAAAGTATTATGTTTACTGGATAAAAGGAATTTTTTATTTATGAGAAAAGTAAAAAAAAAAAGAAGAGCTTTGAAATAATCTTTGTTAATTCTGTCATTCAAATATTATTTTAGTGTTTTTCATAATTTTACAGAGCTTTCAAGTATTATCTAGGGTTTTTTTCTTTTCTGTACTGGGGTTTGAATTCATGGCCTTGTACTTGCCAGCTAGGCAGGCTCTCTACCACTCGAGTCACATCACCAGCCCATTTTTCATAATTTTAAAACAATTTAATTTTCTTCTATCAAATCATATAGCCTGTGGAATCTTTGTACATTAAAATAAAATCCCACATTAACAGATGCAAAGCTAGTCTGCTTGAAGGAGGAATGACGGTGTGATGGCTTTTCCAACCACTACACAGAAGACTACTGCTCTGTGTCCTTTTTCAGTTGTGTCCTAATCGATCTGTCAGAGAGAAAGGTGTGTTAATTTCCCACTAGTCTCATTACTACTCATAGCTTGTTATATTTCAGAAGATTTCATTTTATATTTTGATTAACTTTCTCTCTGGAAATAAATGCCCATGAAAATTGTATTATTTTTAGAGTTTTAATTATCCAAATAAAATGACCTTCTTTCTAATTTAATAATATTTTGCTTTAATTTATCTTTTTATAAGTGATTCATTAAACTTATGCTCCTTTACTACTTATCCTCTTATTTTTACATTTTTGGTTTTTTTGGTGTGTTATTTTGTTTTGATCTGTTTTTCCTACAGGACAGTTATATTTAATATTTGATCTAAAGACTAGGTTTCAAATCTCTGTATTTCAGTATTAGTGTTTGACTTTTTAGTTTTGTTGTTCTGGTTGATTCACTTTTCCTTATTCAGTCATCTTAGAACTGTCAAATGCAAATAACTCATAATTTAAAATTGAATGTTAATAGCAATAAACCTTGAGATTGACATGATGAAGAATTAAAAAAAATGATGTAACTATAAAGTAATTATGGATTTAAAATACAATAGTAAATTAAAAATAAAAATATTATGCTATAATCAATTTCTAGGTTAAAATTAGACATATCTGATAGGAATATTTCTGAAAAAGACTGAGAGTTTAGAGCCTCGAATATAGAACAAGACACCAAGAGAAAGGGAGATATAAAATGTGTAACACAGATGGGCATCAATTAATAAACATATACTATAAAACTAGAGAGTAAAATGTAAGTCCAATCAAATATAAGTGATGGAGGCAGAAGGAGGTATCAAGAGAGGGAAGGAGACCAAGGAAGGAAAGG